AAGTGTTTGTTTTAAAGGTTATTACTATAAAAGGAAATTTTTTGCCAAAAATCGATTTACGGGAAAGAGTTTTTTTTGGCTCCTTAAAAATATATATATATATATATATATATATATATTGTCTTATAAATAAAAACCTTTTTAATAATATTTTTTTCAACTTTATTATTTGACTTTTTTTTACAAATAGGCTACTAATCTGAATTGTATCAATGTCAAAAAAGATATTGATAGTTAGATAAAGTCAGTAAAAAGTAATATAACAGCAAATAAACAGTTTAGTTTATTTACTTATATATGATTTTATTATAATTGTATAATAGCTATAGTTCTATTTATATTGAAAACTTGTAACTAATATACTATAATTATTTTTTTTGATCTTTTGAAGAAAAAAACTGATTACAATTTTTTTTTGAATTAAAGGTAAAAAAAAAAACATGCTTATTAACTAAAGTATCCAATAATAAGTTTTTATTAAGAAAGTCCACTATCTTTAATAAAAGAAAACTATTTCCAATATAATTAAAAGTGATAGAATAATATAGTATAACAAGGATTGAAATAAATGATTTTAAGAAGAAAAAATTTCAAAAAAAAGAAAAACCTATCTAAAGAAAAAAGTTAAAAAAGTTAAAAAAAGAAAATAAATAAATAGATAATAAAAAAAAAATAATTGCATTCAAGCTTGTAATTAAAAAAATATTTTTTATATAATAAAAAATATTTATAATCAATAAGTTATTTTAAAAATTTTATTTAAAGTTTATAAAAAATTTTTATAAAAACAATAATTGTATTTTAAAATAAATTAAATATAAATTTTTATTATTAAATAAAATTTTATTATAAAAAATATTAGTTATAAAAATCAAAAAAATAATTTAATTTTAATTTAAGATCAATAGTATAGTAGGTAATACTCTTAGATCTTCAAATATATATCTTTAATTTAATATTTATAAAAGACAAATGCAAAAGTTTCATCTATATATAGATTTACCAGTTTTTTTATATATGAAATATCTAAACATCTGGATTTTAATTAAATCTAATTAGGTTATATAAAAATGATCTTTTTGACAATTGTAACTAAAAACATGTTAAGGTAGGAAAATAATATATAAGATAAAACTTTTAATCTAATTTCAATAAAAGCTATAATCTTTGATACAATATATTTTATAATACAAATAATACTTTAACTTAAGATGATTTCAGTTCTATATCTGTTTAAAAGAAAAGAACCTAATAAAAAAGAAAAATCAAAGTTATAAATGGTAACAAAAAGTATAATATCTTCTTTGAGGTTTTAGGTAAAAAGTATTAAATAGATTATTCAAGTATTTTAATTAATTCTAAAAGATATATTTTTTCAATAACAATTACCAGAATTTAAATTAAGTTTGATAATTTATAAGTTAGTAATAATATTTTTATTTTCTAAAGGTTCTACTTAGATATATGGATTTATCTCAATAGTAATAAACTTGTATAATTGGATAAGGCTATAAGTGAAGATATAAATTAACTTAAATAGATCTTATAGTCATATAATTGAATATAAATTATCCAATAAAAGATTATATGTTACTGATACCTTTGCACTTAAAAAAAAAAATCAATTACTAATAATAACTATATATAAAATTTTATTATTATTATTAAAATATATTTTTATATATTAAATAAAATTATTAAAAATAAAATACATATATTGTAAAAAAAACTCTTTCCCACTCCCCTTTCTGCACTTGAAAATTTCCTTTTTAGAAAATTTTTGAGTTGTTTACTCTTTTTTTTTGTTCTTCCCTTTCCTCTCTCCTTTACTTTCCCTCTTCCATATTTTTTTATTTTCCCTTTCCTATTTCTTATCTCTCCTTTCTATAGACTCCTTTATATAAAGCTTACCCCCTCCCCTTTCTTTTTTTCCTTTCTTTTAAAGTTAGGTTTTTTCTTCTTCCTAAAGGTTTTCTTTCTAGGCCTCTCTTTCTTTTATAAACTTGCTCTTCATAATATTAGCCTCCTGGCCAGTTGGTTCTTTTTTCTCAAGACCATATGCAGAGGTGATAACTTCTCTTAAGATATGGGCTTCAGAATTTTTCTCTTTTCCATGGTCTCACAGAAAAAAGACAGATGGCTTACCTCTTCAAAAGATTGACATGGTTATCATTACCAAATCCAGTATTGTTTACTTGTTGATAGTTAAACTAGATACATTTAAGAAACTGGTGTATAACTATTATTATCTGAAAGTATTCAAGGAGTTGCACCCCATTGTATCCAGAAAGATATGGCAGCCAATGCCAATGTAGCTAACAATAAGCTAGATTAGGTGCAGGTGTCATGTTGATAATTGGAAAACCTAGTAGGATAATATGTGAAAATCAGGAATTCTAATTACCCTGCAACATGAGCTGATGATGACAATGAAAGTTCCTTACTCACTCCTTCGACAATGTAGACTCATTGTACAAGGTTAGATAATAATATCTATAAGAAACCCCAACTCTATTATGTCTAACAACTTTCTTTAACAACCACTACTATACATCCAAACACTTTCTTTTCACCTTTCCTGCCTTATACTGGTACTGGATTCTACTCAAATACTTAAATGATGCAGCTATGTGTACAAAGTTTCTTATGAAGAACGATTGTCCCCTTCCCTACTTGTCGCAAATGTAAGCAACTGCTACAGGCCTGGTTAACCTGTAATCTGCCATAATCCTAGAAGGGTAGAGAAGATCAAATACTAGGTGATCAGATAAAAGGCTAATCTCCACGAGATGTTTGTGTCGATGTAGTGGCCATTTAACTAGTTAAGCAGTTATCTAGAGGAAGTATAAGGTGGAACACATCTTGGCTTGCTATATATCAAGCCATATTTGAAAAGCAAGCTTGCCAATCCTAATCATGACTTGGAGGCCAACCTGTATATAGTGGCTGCAATGCCTTCATGTGGCTAGATATTCAAATTTTCTAGGTAGCTAGATGTCATCTGAGGCATAATATAGGTTTTGAATTTCCTTTTTCTATATTCTTGGGTGGTGCTAAGGAGCACAGAGGATGGATCGTGTTTGCGAAGCCTGGCATTTGATTCTTTCTAGCAAAGAGAGATGTATATTATACTGTAAATGTGTTATAAACCTTGTACTGCAAGTCTAAAATTATAATAATAAAATAAAGTGTAATAGCCTTTTGCTTCTTCAAAAAAAAAAAAAAAAATACTTATATTGTAAAGTTTTTATTAAATTTAAATATTTTAATATATAGTTAACAAAATTTATTAATATAAAAATCAAGTGAATATAAATAAAAAAAAAAAACTTTTTTCCATACACAACTTTTTTCTTTTATAGTAATTTTTCTTCAAAATTAATCACAGGTGAAACAAAAATGTAATACTGGAAAATAGAATACAGGGCTTATCACACAGATAAAGGTTTAATCATTAAATGAGCACACTTGCTGCTTTTATTATTAAGAAAGTTGAATAAATTTATACATGTTTCCATTATCCTAATTATCCTCTTTATCCTGATTATCCTAATTATCCCAATTATCCTCTTTATCCCGATTATCCTCATCACGATACTCAATATAGGATCGCGTGAGAAATCGCCCCCTTTTTTCCCTATAACAATAGATATCATTTATTACTTTCTAGCAAAAAATTTTTTCCAAAAATAAAAGGACATAGGGTGTTCTCCGTACATATTTAAATAGCATACATATAGCCATATTTACAATAAAATATTTCCGGATTATTTTACCGGTATATAGAAAATTCGGAAATCGTAAGCCTAATTCTTTACTATGTAATATAGTCACATGAAACCAATTAGTTCTCATAAACCGGAAATTTCACTCGAAAACAAATGTAAACGTAGCTGCCACGTACACTGTATGAAAGAACATCCCCATGTCTTTATTTTTGGTAAAAAATCTCTGCTTTATTTTCTTAGGTTCATAACATAAAACACGAGAACAGAGCAACCAAAATTGGTGACAACAAATTTATCTGATCAACAAGTGGTTGATCCTAAATAATAGAATTAATAAAATTATCAAGTGCTTCAAAGCCAACAAATTCTTCGTATTCATAAGTATAATTTTTTTTCCGCTCCTTTTGACTAGCCTGTAACTGTTCTAAATGCTGAATGTAACGCTCTGGCATGTTAATTCCAAAATTCATATATATATTTTCGACAGTGCCTCTAATGTCTTTAATAAACTTGTTATATAAAACGTATAACTCCTCTTGGTGTTTAAAATCAAGCAACTTTAGGCAGTCATCACGCAATCTTCGTTCATGGACTGATTTTAATCCTCTTGCGGTGAAAATATCAATGCCAGTCTTGGCCATCGTCGAGGCTCGAATCAATGCAAGAAAGGAATTTATAAATTCTCGCGAAGGACGCAAGCAGATAATAAATTTTGCATGAGGATACATTTTAATAAGAATGTTAAGCTTAGTGTGACATATAACGTCCTTTGATAAATAAATTTTATTCTCTCCTCTAATGTACATAATCTTTTGGATGACTTTTTGGTGTATGGCAAGAAGATGATTTTGTCCCTGTGGCGGCAAATCACCGAGTAGAGACATAAGGTTCGGGTACGGAAATTTAGTAATGACAAAGAGATGATGTAAGAAGCATTCATCAAAGAGTATGCCATCTTCTTCCCAATCATACAAGGTATTGGCATGCATCTTTGATGCTTCATTCCCAATTTTTGTAGCGGGCCAGTAATTTGTCTTTTTAATGTAATCCTCTAGATAAAATAGCTTAATTAACTTTTGCACTATTACAAATGGATAGCGCCATTCGAAATGTCGTATGGCGAAAAACGTCTCTTCATCTTGAGCAAGAGTTCGATGCAAAAGTGTAGTGCCACTGCGAGGTGAGCCAATAATAAATACTGGCTCAATTTTTTGCTTTTTATAGTTAGGATATAATAGTTCATCCAAATACCACAAAAATGTGTAGAAAGGTGCGGAAAGACCATACTTCAGAAGTAATTGTGCTTGTTGCACTCTGACACTAAGAGGTACTTCTACTGTATAGTTCAATACTACATTTTTCCAAAGCTGAAAATATGTAGACCAACGTGGAAAGGGTGAGTATGCATAGCCTAATAAACAAGCGATGCTACCAACGATTAATAACGGAATCATTATCTTCAAAGAATTTCGAGGATATGAATTAAAGGTTTTTTCTCGAACGAGCAGAGATTTTAAATATTTTTAAACGCTTTTGACACACGTGTCTAAATATGATGTACGAACGGGCTTAATAATTACAACATTGGAACCAGTTACGAACCGGATGCATTTAAATTAGGCCGCTATTGTAGCATGTTAAAATGTAGTATAGGTTGGTTACTCCAAGTTATCAGCGAATAAAAGAATGGTGATGGATCACTTTTTTTTTTAAAAAAAAAATGTAGTATAACATCTATGCTATGTTATACAGATTTGTTTTCAAGTTATAATTAGAATTTGGTATGTTTTTTTTTTTTGTTGTTAAGATTCGTTTGTTTTTCAAAAATAGTATAATATATAATAAGTAGAAAAAAAAGTGTTTTTCTTTTATATATTAAATTATTATAAATTATTGAGTATTATTATTTTAATAAGCAATTAAATATAAGAATTTTATTAAAATTTTATTTGTTTTTATAGTAAATATAATATATCAATTATTATTATTTTTTTTTTTTACTGCAAACAAGCATAAAATATAAGACTTTTATTAAACAAAAGTTTATAACCATTATATTAAGTATCTATTTAAGTTAATACTAATCTATTGCATATAAAACTTTTATATGATATTATACCAAGTAGGTGATACCATATCAAAATTGGTTCATAAATGGCTTATGCCTGTTTATAAATGGCTAAATTAGAAAAAGAAATAATAATAATTTTTACAATTAGGTTTTGAATATATTGTCTAAACTATAGTTTCAAAAATCAAAATCAAACAGACTTGCATAAACTCATATGAGATTCAAAACAATATTAAAAATAATAATAGGTTATAACCCATATATTAAATTTAATATAAATCCAAGAATCAAAATTGAATTAAATTATTAGGATTCTTAATTTGAATTTATAAAATTATAATAACAGCTGTTTTTTTGAAAATATTTTGAATTGTTACTTAAACTTGTAAAACTATATAACAATTATTTAAGAGCTAAATAAAATATATAAAACACTCAATATTTTTACATAACTGTAATATTGATATTGTTAAAGTGATTAAAAAAATTATTAAGATAGTTTTATTAAGTAATAATATTATTGTTATAAATAAGATTAAGTTAATTTGATTATTATAAGATATGATTATTGAATTTTGATTAGGTATTAAGTTTATATTAATTGTTTAAAGGGATAAAATTAATTTTTGTTTTTTATGTTATAAAAAATTTTGTAGATTTTTAAGTAATACAATATTGTATATCAAGAAAGTAGTTAAAAGATTTGATTAAAACAAACAAGAGATCCAATAACCAGAGATGTCACGGACATGGACACAGGACCTGGACAATCCAGGACAGGACTGTCCGTATCCATGTCCAATCATTTTTTAGTCCCGGACAAAATGATGTAGTCACATGTTTACTGCGTACCATTGTTTCAGTAATAATTAAAATACCGTACATTGCATATTGTCGTGGGTTATCTGGCAAGTCCACACTGCTGGTCATTATGTTCGGCTCGAAATAAGGTAGGTTTCTCTAACTCTTGAGGCATGTTCTCGATTTAGCCGGTCTTTAACTTTTTATATCGACTAACCTAGAATCCTTTCTCTGCCAATTCCCTTAGACAAAACCTCGGTTCTATCGTCTAGTCGCGTAATACAAGTATTTATGGCGCATTAGAAAACAAGTAAGAGTTTATTTCTAAAACGTTACTTTATTGTTTATTACTTAATGCGCTCTAAAATAATTCTAAACTTCTCTCTTCTACATGCTACTGAATGGCGCATGTATTTATTTATACATGCGCCTATTATTTACATGTTTTACATTATCATACTACGCTACTCTAGAAATTTCCGCCACCAACTTTCCCACACCAATTTCCATCTTAATTTCCACCACAGATCACGACGTAACGTGATATCGTGTCACATGCCTGTGCCGATTTTACCCATAATATTTAGACTGAACTTGGGATCTGATTCCTCAACATTTGGTTGGTATATTTTGCGATCATTAGTGGTGGCGGGGTATTGTAACAATCCTGTACTGCGCCTGGGGCCCTAACTGCGCCAAGAGACCCGGAGCGCCCCTGAGCGATCCAGACGACCTACAAGGCCGGGTATATTTGTCAAACGCATACATGGTGCGATTTTGACCCCTGACGATGTGACACGC